ATTCCTCATCCCTCAACCCTCTACGGAAGCCAAGGTCCCAATTTGTAGACAAAGGGGTATACGAGGACAAAAGAAAGGCAGACACAGGCTCTTTTTTATAAAGGGAAATAGAGAAGAGAGAGAGGAACAGATCCTTGAGAGGCAAATTTCCCACCCAAGTGTCTTTCCAGAAAAGAACATGAGATCCAAACCAAGCATCATACCTTACAAAGCAGAGGAACTGAGGGAGGATGCCGTGAATTGCCTTCCAAGGTGTTGCAAGAGTTGCCCGTCTAGATACCTCTGCATCCCAACCATTTCCGGAATAGCCATGGATACTTGCCACCACCACATGCCATAACCTCTTCCTTTCTAAGGGTCGTCTCCATAACCAATTCCCTAGAAGAGCTTCATTCTTATGAGCAAGATTCCCTAATCCTAATCCTCCTTCCTTACTTCGACTAACTACCTCCCACCTAATCAAATGATCCTTCTTCCCTTGCCCCAGCTCCCACAAGAAATCCCTCATCATCATCTCTATCTTCTTAGCTTCCCTAGTAGGAATCTTAAAAACAAACAAAAAGTAAACCGGCAAATTAGCAAGTGTGGATCTTATCAAAGTCATTCTACCCCCCAAAGAAACATAATTCTTTTTCCAACTTGCCAACTTTTTTCCAAACTTTTCCACAACGGGGTTCCAAAATCGACTCTCCTTTGGGTTAGCTCCTAGGGGAAGACCTAGATAAGTTAAGGGCCAAGACGAGGTGGAACACTCTAGGCAATCTACAATAACCTCCAATTCCTGATCATCCATATTAACTCCAACCACAGCTTTTTTCAAAATTGATTTTCAGATTTGAGGCACCTTCAAAAAAACTATTAAATTCTTAACGTTCCTTACCTTCCTCAAATCACTTCCTTCACAAAAGATTATAGTGTCATCTGCAAACTGAAAGGTGGGTCACTGGAACACTATTTCTTCCACTCACAATCTCCTCCCTATCTGCTTTTGAAATCATTCTACTAACACATCAGCAACAAGAGTGAAAGAAATGGGGAGAGTGGATCACCTTGTCTTAGGCCCCTACATGCTGGGAATGAGTCCTTAACTATTCCATTGACATGGATGAAATAATGGCAAGAAGTGAGACAGCCCTTAATCCAATTACACCATCTTTCCCCAAATCCACACTTAACACCTCTAAGAAGAAGCTCCAATTCACCAAATCATAGGCTTTTTCAATATCCAATTTGCAGACAAAGCCTTTATTACCCAATCTCATCATCTCCTCCACACATTCATTAGCTATCAAGATTTGATCTATTATTTGTCTGCCTTGTACAAAAGCACATTTAGCTTGACTAATTAGAGAAGGGAGTACAACTTTGATCCTCAAGGATAAGACCTTCGCCAAAATTTTGTAAATGCTAGTCACCAAGTTGATTGGTCTGAAATCCTTAGGATGCTTAGCAATTGCCTTCTTGGGAACAAGAGCTAAAAAAGTAGCATTAACTCTAGGGCTAACAACAAAATTATCCTCAAACTCCCTGAAGACCTCAAAGAAATCGTTTTTAACTATGTCCCAGCAATCTTGATAAAAGGCCATCATAAATCCATCTGGCCCAAGAGCCTTAGATCTATCCATTAAGAAAACTGCTTGTTTAATTTCCTCCTCAAAGTTTCTTTCCAACCATACCCTCTCAGCAAGACTTGGTTAGTCTAGACCATCCACTTTCACCCTACAATTAAGGGGTCTTCTCATAATTGACTTGAAATGATCTACAAAACATCTGGTTATCTCTTCTTGAGAAGAGATTTCCTCTCCATCAATTTCAAGGTGTGCTTCAAAATTTTTCCTCCTTCTCCCATTGGCCATCACATGAAAGAATTTTGTATTCCCATCTCCTTCCTTGATCCATTTAACCCTTGATTTTTGCCTCTATGATATTTCTTCTCACAACAGGACCTCTTCTTATTCTTTCTTTAATCACCATCTCAAATTTCGTTCCTGTGGACTTAGTTTCCTTTGGGATTCCTTCTCATCTAGTTCTTCAATCTGCGTCAACAAAGAAGATTTTAAATCCTCTATTCTCCCAAAATGGTCCCTATTCCAGCCTTTTAATTTTGTCCTCAAATTTTTTAGTTTTTTATGAAATCTAACTCTTTTCCACTTCAACCCCCCTTAGCTCTTCACTCCACCATTCTTCAACATTTTTTACAAAGTCTAGGTGAGACAACCACATATTTTCAAATCTAAAGGATCTAGGTCCAGAACCTAAGGGTTCTTGTCCTGAATAGGCAATGATCCGAAGTAACTCTAGGTAAYCATTTAGCCATCAAACCCCTCTATTGAGTCTCCCAAGCTTCATTGAACAAGAATCTATCTAACTTCAGGCAGGTTGAATTTTCCTGAAAGTTCGACCAAGTAAAGTTGGCTTGCAAAAGAGGAATCTCCTTCAGCTCACAAGAGTTGATAAATTCATTGAATTTTCTCATACTAGTCATGATGGACTATTGAGGGTTATTCGACCCAGTTGTGAACCGAATTACATTAAAATCTCCACCCAAGCACCAGRGACCTTCCCATAAACCTTGAATACCATACAACTCCTCCCACAACTTATTCGTCTCTATAATTATTGGGCCCATACACATTAGTTAGCAACCAAGTAAAACTACCCTCCACCATCATGAATTTCGGAGACACAAGTTACCTACTAATTCCTCAACTGCTTCTACAATATCTTCTTTCCACAAGGAGATTATACCCCCTGAAGCTCCGCATGAGGGAGTTGAAACCCAACTAATCCCTCTTGATTTCCAAATACTTCTAACCCATCTTTTGTCCAGCCCTTCTAATTTGGTCTCTTGTAGCATTACAACGTCCGGTCTTTCTCTTCTAAGCATCTCCTTTATTAATCTTCTCTTCCTTGCACTTCCTAACCCCCTCACATTCCAGTTTATGATTTTCATTAGAAAATAATGAAAAAGATACTCTCCCAAGCACCCCAACCCAAATTTATTTAGGACCCTTCCTTCTTTCCTCTCAACCACTGAATTCAATATCACCCTCAATATCTAAGATTAGTCTCTCCACCTCTGATCTTTTCTTTTTTTTTCCTACTTTTATATTCCCCAGCACTCCTCAGACACTCTATTTTCTTTCTTCTATTCAAATTTTGTAGGGGTAACCTCCATTTTCTCTTCTACCTCTTTATATTCCTCCAAGAGAGCACAAATCTGCTCCCAGATTCTCTCTAACTCTTCTTCCTGCTTCCTATTCAAGAAAATCTCCCCTTCCTTTTCTCCACAACCCTTAATCGTGCAGTCCCACTTTCCCCTCCCTTGGTTATTCCTTCTGGTTGCCAAAGTACCTATTTTCAGGCAAAGGACCCTTGTTAGTACCAGAAAACAAAACAACAGGCATACTTGAATCAAGGGGAATTGGAAGAGTGGGAACATGAGCAAAAGTTGCTAGCAGAGGCATCGAATCTAGGCCCGGTTCCCCCTGTCTGATTGATCTTTGGAAGTTGGTGAGGTTCAACCAAGTTTGTGTTAACCAATGCAACTGAAGCTACCTTTAAAGGTTGTCCCCTAATCGGTGACTCTACATGGAGCGACAGTAATGAATTCTAGCCCTCTAAATAGATATCATAAGTGGGCTGCATTCCAAGGGAGGGTTTGTCTATTGGATTAGATGTACCCTATGCAACTTCCGTAGAAATTGTTGAATCCATCAGAACCTTGTGTGAAGTACAAATTGGGGAGGGGGAGGGAACTGCCGCTTGAATCCCTGTCATTGAACCGCAAACATCTTCCTCCAAGAACAACAACTCAATATTTAAATTATCATCTATATTGATACTACCAAGGCTCAACGTTTCCTAAGTTTCAAAATCAGAGCACTCTTCCTCATCTAACAAAGAGTCCAAATCAAGTTTCTCTAGGTCGCATCTATTGACACAACAAGGATTGCGACGATCTGGAGATGATCACTAAGATTTTCATCGAGATTCATGTAGAGAGCCATACGTCTAAGCGGGAGTCTTCGTATCGCCGGACAATGAGGAGTCCTTTGCAAAGCTCGAAGAGCTTGAGGAAGACGATAGATGGTTACTATCGTCTACCTTAGGCCTAACCTCAATCACATGATTTTTTTAAAAGCTCATGTGCCTTTTTAAGAGTCTGGGTTGGGTCCACTAACACTAGTCCATTTAGGCCTTTACTAGAGTAAGTTTTCATCCCTCAAAATAGAAAGCCCATTAGATGACACAGGCCCACAACTAATTCTTTGGGCCATAGCTGGATTTGACCCTCCTCCAACATGGTTCAAAGGTTCACCCACATTTGTTACTTCCCTACCCAGTTTGTCCAAAGTGTACTTACCCTGACCTTGAGGGAAAGAACAATTTGTAATTTCCAAAGGGCAATCCTGGGTGCCAGAAGCAACCACCTGAGCAAACGATCTGGTGGGCGTCAGACCTATTCCTTAACACTTGCCATTTTGACCTTACAATCTGCCCAGATCTTTTGGAAATCCTAAAGGCTGCTTGTCTATTTTTTTGAAAGTATTAACTTTCTCTGAGTACACCAACCCCAAGCTGCCACGTAACTCTAGTATTTTTGTCCTCTCATCTCCAACCTATCGAGCCTCCTTCCACAGATCACTTCAATGGAGGAGGCCAACCACATCAGAAAAAACACTCCATCAACATTAACAATTATCTTCCTAGGTATGTCCTCAGACTTAACTCCACTCAACAACAAGGTTGCCGACCGTAGGTCTCCCCAAAGCTCTCCATCCCCATTAAGTCTAAAATTAAACATGTGTCGCATCATAATGATGTGTTTAAAATTGATCGTTGGGGATAGTCTTCCAAGAGGAGATGATCGTTGCAATAGTTATTGATAAAAAAATTATAATTTTACGACTGATAAAAAAAATTATAATTTTAAGATGAAAAAACAGAGCATCCAATGATCCAATGTGAAAAAACGGCAACATGGAAGACAAGCTTACTTGTGTACGTGATTCTTGCCAGAAAAGATGATTTGTCAGAGATGAGTTTTTGGTCGTTGTCCAGTCCTTGGCACAGCCTCAACTCCTGCCTCCCTGGGTTTGTAGTGGTAGAAGGTTGAAACGAATAAAGATTTGGGGCTAGGGCTTAGAGAGCTGGAGTTTATAATTATGCGTGAAATGACAATGTTGCCCCTTCTCCCACATGGGAACACCGCGCACACGTTCGTAAATAATGGGGGACGTTGTGGGAACCACGCATTCCCTGAGAACATATTCTTTGAGAGTGTCGATTTGTCACTCCCGAAGAACACATTTTTTGGGTGTTGTTCTCACTCGGGAATGGCTTATTTCTTGCCTTTTTTTTTGCCAAACATGTTTCTGTTCCGCAAGAGCGCCGGGAATGAGAGAACTCTCATGGAATGTTTCCAAACAGGGCCTAAATTCTTCTTCTGCTCCTCACCTGTAGTCTCCTAGAGATCATCTCCATCTGCCTTAGCCTCCCCTTTTCTCCGATAAGTAAGAAAGGTCTTCATCACTTTAGCAACCTCTTTCCACCCTTGACTATTTTTTCCTTCAGGAAAGCAAACCATTTGCTTCTTACCTTTAGCAAAGAACTTGAACAAAGCAATGTACGATCCTTTAGAGTTACTTTTACATTCGACCAAGTATCTTCTTCCAGTATCCAAGGAACTTTCCTGCCTGCTTAGTTTTTTACCTTTAGTTGCTGCCTCCGACAAAATCCGTGAGCCATTCAACCATCTCATGTCCTCGAACCAAGACCATCGCCTTTTTCATTTCCCTAATCTTTAGGCTAGGGTGTCCCTTAATCTTCAACTCCTCAAAAAGAACATCTTTAGCATCTATTCTCAAAGATTTCCTCCATCGTGCAATCTCCACAAAGCCTTTGCTCTCCATATTCTCTCTTATCTCTTCTAAACCCATTCCTTCCAAAAGGTAAGGTAAATTTGCACTAATATTTCCAAAAAGAAGTATGCAAGTATGTTAGTTCACTGTAGATCCCCCAAAAAAGTCAACAGCCAAAAAATAAGAAGACAAAAGACCATCCTTGAAGTGTAGGTTAACACTCAAGAATGCATACTATCATCTGCCATAAGAATAACGACATATTTGTCTACCCTTGGCAAAGGCTCCTTGACAGTTTACACTAAGAGATGAGGTTGTCAACCTCTTTAGTTCTCAAGGAGAGAACATTTCAAATGATCATATGCACACTCCCAACTAGATTGATAGGCCTAATGCCCATTTTGTCCCGTGCTCCTKAGTTACATGAAATGAACAAGAACAAAAGTGGTGTCATTCCCTTTTGATAATTCAACTAGACTGTAACTCTATTAATACTTTCATTTCCTAGCAACTTTGATTGAAGTATATGCTCCATGCAAAACTATCAGGATCATAAGCATCTCTCTCATATAAATAGCAGCACCTCTACATTCCTTTCCCAATGGGTCTCTATAACCACACAACRAGGTCTGCAAAGCATGACTCCATTCAAGGCCCTCAAAGAAGGATATGGGGAAAGGGGGAATAATAGAGACTTTATACAATCAATAAAGGCTTTCAAAACTAATAATCTCAGACGATAATTCCACTCCATCAGCAACCAATTAGATATCAAATTCTTCCTTCTACCATTTGCTAGATTGAGGAAAAAAGTTGAATTCCATCCTTCCTTCAAACATCTCATTTCCAATAAATTTCTTCCCATCCCATAAACCAATCAAATTCTATATTGATTTGTCCCATAAACTTCTTGTCTCCCCAAGTAGAGCCCTTCCCATTTCCATCTTATCAAGGGCATCAATTTCTTAGCTATCTTTTCTCCCTAGTCAACCCCAAAGCCTCCATATTTCACACCTCAGGTTTGGATTAGATGAGTTATACTAATAATTGTTTCAGAATCCAAAACCAGTTGAACCATCGAACCATTCACCACATCCTCAGACCACAAATTCTCACATTTCAGATTTTGCCACCATTGCAATGGTCAAAATTTGATCTGGCCAATTCGTATAGAGCTACTCCTGRAAAATGCACCTTCCAATCAATAGAAAATTGAAATTAATCAAATTCACAAAAGCTCAGGCTTTTCTACAAACTGGACCAAGTGAAAGTAGCATAGAGAAGCCCAGGGTTTTTCAACTTGCAAACAGATTGAACTTCCTCGTGTTACGGTTCTCTTCTGCCTAAAAAACTCTAATTGAACAATGAAATGTTTCCTTTCTTTGCAATGGTGGCATTGAATAATGGAATTACATTATTTACTATTTTCTTAATTTCTAAAACAATGAAAAAAAATACAACAAACGAATCCTATTGTTCTGTTGTGGAGAAATCATGTCTGCTCTAAATTCAGAAGTAATGGACTTTTCCCCTATTCCATCTTTGTCTAGTGTTTTCATTTTTTTTTCTATGTTGATTTTTCTTTTCCCCCCTTTCTTCTCTCTTTCTGCATTTCACAAAATTGTCGAAGCAGGTAATCGATGCCATACAAGAGCATGTAGTAGTAGATGAGAAATAAGTTAAGGTTCAACACTTCTAAGAAACAATGTCATAAGGCTGAATTCATCCAAAAAAAATATATATCATAAGGCCGAACAACCCCTATTTCTTCTCTGGTTTCTCACTTGTTTCCTTTTTCTTCTTTACTTCTTTGCTTTTTTTATCTTTTTTCACTTTTCTTGGACATCAGAGACTACATCTTTAATTTTCCAAGTCCTAACAACCCCTCCAGACCTTTACCAGCCTTTTGTTTCGCTTAACCACCCTGTAGGCCACACTTGAAACCCCTTTTTACCAACTTATTAGTTCTGTTTTCACTTGTTTTTATTGGTTATCTTTTTGAGAAAAGATGACTTGTATTAAACCAGAGGAAGGGAGTACATGAGAGGATGGACAAGCCTCAACAAAAACAAAAAAATAGAGGAAAGATAAGCTAATAAGGCATTATATTTGCACTATACAAAAAGTCACTTCCCAAACCAGGTTTTGCTAACCCATCAGCCAGTTGGTTGAGGTTCCTTGGGATCCATCTAAAATTGCATAACATGGAAGAGGAGATTACATAAATTTCATGCAGGAAATGGAAATGAGTTTGGATCGGGGAAAAAACAAAAAAAGAGGTGGATAAGAAAAAAAGAATCATCAGAATGTGATAAGAAAAGAGAGACCAGTTATAGTCATGATACAGGAGACAAAGCTTTCAGATTTGGACAGAAGGTGGATAAGAAGTATCTGGAGTAGCAGGGGTATAARTTGGTCCTTTGCCCCGTCATGGGGTGCCTCGGGTGGGATCCTTACAATGTGGAAGAATGAGGAAGTTGATTGTCAAGAGGAATTGATAGGGCAATACTCAGAATCAATAAAAGCCAAGAGGATGAGTGATGGAAGGGAGTGGGTGTTGACTAATGTGTATGGGCTGAATTCATATAGAGAGAGGAACACATTCTGGGAAGAGATAGCTGCAGTCAGGGGCATTTGGGAGGGGATTTCAACGTAATAAGATATACAAATGAGACAAACAACCCCAACCAGCCCTTAACAACTAGTATGAGACACTTCAATTCCTTGATTGAGTCCCTAGAACTAAAAGAACCTACCTTGTTACAGGCCTCTTTCACCTGGTCAAATCTCCAAGAAAATCAAGTGTGCTCAAAACTGGACAGATTCCTTTTCTCTGTTGATCGGGAAGAGTTGTGGGGAACATTGACACTAAAAGCCCTACCTAGAGTGACATCTGATCATTGCCCCTTAAGCCTCTACCAAGAAAATCTTATTAGAGGCCCCACAGCTTTTAGATTTGAAAACATGTGGCTAGAAGTTCCAAATTTTTTGCAAAAGGTAAAAGAATGGTGGTTAGAAGGTGGGATAAGGGCTAGAGATAAAGTGGTGAGGTTCTCCCAGAAACTGAAAAGATTGAAGGAAAAGATCAAGGAGTGGAACAAAGAGGAATTTGGAAAACTTGAGGTCATAAAGGAGGAATTAGCCAGGAAAATAGAGGAAGTGGACCAAAAGGAGGCCCGGAAAGAGTGTGGGCTGGAGGATAGAGTAGAAGGATGGAACTCAAAAGTGCAATTGGAAGAGATCCTAAGAAAAGAAGAGATTTCTTGGAGGCAAAAATCTAGATGTAAATAGCTTATGGAGGGGGATGGAAATACCAGATTTTTCCATTCCCTAGCAAATGGGAGAAGACAGAAAAACCAAATTTCCAATATAGAGGTGGAGGGAAGAGTAGTAACTGCAAAAGAGGAAACTGAAAGATGCTTCGTGAATTTACAGTGGGACAGAGTGCCAGAATCTGAAGTTAACCTCCTAGAAAGAGCTTTTACTATTGAGGAGATACATGAAGCAATATTCTCGATGGATAGATCTAAAGCTCCGGGGTCGGATGGATTTTTAATGGCTTTCTATCAGGATTGTTGGGAAATCTTGAAAGATGAATTAATGGATGTATTTGTGGAGTTTTATCAAAAGGGAAATTATCGCCTGGAGCAAATGCAACTTTTATTGCTTTAGTGCCAAAAAAGGAGGCCAAAACCCCTAAGAATTACAGACCGATAAGTCTAGTGGGTAGCTTGTATAAAACCATTGCAAAAGTACTAGCTGGTAGGTTGAAGACTGTATTGCCCTATGTTATCTCTTAGAACCAATGAACTTTTGTAGAAGGGAGACAAATTGTGAATCAAATCTTAGTGGCAAATGAGTGTGTGGCAGCTAAGAGAAAACAAGGTGTCAAAGGTTTGATTTGTAAATTGGACCTAGAAAAATCTTATGATATGGTGGATTGGTCCTTGTTGAATTTAAAGGAAAAGATGGGGCTAGGTGAAAGAGAGGATGTGGATTAAAGAATGTATTAGCTCAGCACATTTTTCTATTCTGATACATGGGGTAGCAAAGGATTTCTTCCAGGCTAAAAGAGGACTAAGACAGGGTGATCCCTTATCCCCATTCTTATTCACCTTTGTGGCTGAGGTTTTGAGTAGACAAATCACCAAGGCTGATCAAGAAAACCAGTTTAAAGGTTGGAGGATGGGTAGATCAGAAGTGGTGGTGTCACATTTGCAATTTGCTTATGACATAATCATTTTCTGTGAA